GTCTATCGAAACTTGAACCATTAGTAACCAATGGTGAAATTCCACATGATCTGGCATTAAATCATAATAAACCATTATTACCAAAACGTTTTATTAAATAAAATCTCTTTGGATATGACGTATTTTATTTATCAAAAGAAAAAAAAAATTCTGAATATTTTCATGTAAAATCATGTTTGCCTTTTTTTGTCTGTTTTTAAAAAAGAAACGAAAATCTCATATTGTAAGTGTTATTTTCTACAATAAAAAAAAACGAAACTTTATGAATTAGATTTTCGCTGTCGAATACGTGTCATAATATGTTCACAAGTTTGTGTAACATCCTTGAAACAAAAAACAAGTTCATTTTATTATTTTCTTTTGTTAAATTAAATCAAATCAAATAACTTACATCATTTTCTGAATGAAAACGTTTTATTTCATAAAGTAAACTTTCATCAATTTTTGTTGATATCATTTCATCAATAGCATCATCTAAATAATTAAATTAAACAAAAAAACATAGAAATTTTTATTTCAAAAAAAAATAAAATTATTCTTCTAACCATAAGATGACATTGATTTTAATAATGTCAATATTCCTCGTGCTATATCAACATAATTTTTAAATCGATCAAATATTTTATTTAAAATTTCCATTGAATCTAGAAGTGTACCATCATTTGAACGACTACAAAGAAAACGCATTACACAGCGTTCTAAAAAAAATTCATTTCCTTTTTTTTCTGGATTATTTTAAAATAATATACCATCAAGTTTGAATAATTCAGATAAAACAGCAAGTGCTATAAGAAAAACATAGATTTCATATTTCTATCTTAATTCATATAGAAAAATATACAAACCAGCTTTAATTGCAGGACGATTATCATTATGTTGTTGTAAACCAATAGTAAAATAACGTACAAGATTAAATTGTACTAAATAATCAACAGTTGATTCTAATAATAAAAACAATAAACTTCAGTTTATTTCTTGATATTATCAAACAATCAAAACAAATAAACATACTTTCAAAAACAAATGGTAAAAATGCAAAGCATACTTTTGTAAATAGATCACTATTATCTGGATGATTTTGGAGAATATTTAAAAGAGTACTAAGAATTTTTGATTGATGATCACGAAGTTCATTTGCTAAAGAGAACGAATATTAAATAAAATATACATTTTTTCCTAGTTTATAAGTCTGTGCTTGTGAAATTATATCAACTAATTTCGAAACAAAAAAAAAAAACCCTAGAAAACATCATTCTATTCTAGAGATTTGCATCGAAGTCAACTAAATGTCTTACTAATCGATCAGATTTAACATAAGAGATTTTCTAAATTGAACAGATATTTCTTCGAGACAAACGCTCATGAAAGAAAATCAGAGTCAACATTAACTCAGATTTTTCTACCTTTGTAAATCCCTGAAGAGACAGACATGAGTCGAGTCTCCAAAATCCACCAGTTTGTACAATGAATACCAAAGAATAAAACTTACCATTCAAGAAAAACCGGTAGTGTTCAACTGTTAAGCAATTTAGAAAGTTCTAGCTGTTCTTAAAAATGATTCCGATACAGATCTCGATCCTATTCTTCGATTATGTCAGGAATGTTCATCGTCGCTGCCTTTTCTTTTCTAGAGGACATTGCAAAACTGCATCTATTTACATAGAATTTCAGTATTCACAAAAAAATGGGCATTGTGAGATTCGATGAATCTCATAGATGAATTAGTAACAAAAGTTCAAGTTCAATAAAGTCACAGCAGTAAAATACGAAACATTGTTGTGAATGCTATCATAATTTACCACATAGTATGTAGCCTCTTATGAACTAATATCCATTTCAATGAACAGTGCAGTCGGTTGTAAGTTGAATAACTTCGGCTAGGAAACAGCTAGAGACCTGCGGTTTTCAGTTTTGGATAGAAGGGCAGCAACTTTATATGGAAATATGAACAAAACGGCACTATCCCAAAATTTGAGGTCACCTGCCTGCAAAATTTGCAGCAACTTGCCTAAGCGTCATCACTGACATTGGCATTGAGTTTTTTTGACATAGGTTTAATAAAGTAGACGATTATCTATCATTTGACACCAACCCCAGCTTTCTAGCTTTTACCGTTAGGAAGTTACAGGCATTTCTCCTAGAGTCCAAAAGTAGCATTTTCAACAGTTTTCACGATTTTTTGACCCTTCATTGGAGTCAAATTACTAAACAGAGTGTGTATTCGGAATCAGCATGCAAAACTACGTCGAATGACATGTCTTTGAGCTTCATTTGATGACTTTCGTTTTGGTCACTCAACTATCATAGCGTTCTGTGGATCATAGCATGTACATGATATCTATATGGTGAAAAATGAAAGTCATCAAATGAAGCTCAAAGACATGTCATTCGACGTAGTTTTGCATGCTGATTCCGAATATACACTCTGTTTAGTAATTTGACTCCAATGAAGGGTCAAAAAATCGTGAAAACTGTTGAAAATGCTACTTTTGGACTCTAGGAGAAATGCCTGTAACTTCCTAACGGTAAAAGCTAGAAAGCTGGGGTTGGTGTCAAATGATAGATAATCGTCTACTTTATTAAACCTATGTCAAAAAAACTCAATGCCAATGTCAGTGATGACGCTTAGGCAAGTTGCTGCAAATTTTGCAAGCAGGTGACCTCAAATTTTGGGACAGTGCCGTTTTGTTCATATTTCCATATAAAGTTGCTGCCCTTCTATTCAAAACTGAAAACCGCAGGTCTCTAGCTGTTTCCTAGCCGAAGTTATTCAACTTACAACCGACTGCACTGTTCATTGAAATGGATATTAGTTTAAATCGTATTTGATGACTGAAATTAAAACTGAGGCTTTAAAATTATGCTAACTTGTCGTCAGTACTAACAACAATGTCAAAGGTACATGCTTATCCTTGGGATTTATTCAGTTGTTGATTGTTTCTTGTTTTATGTTTACAAAGATGAAATAGGAAATTTAACAACAAATTTTTACGATCTCATTCAAACACGTAGAATCTGACCGATAGCCTGAAAGAAACAAGTTTTCTTTCGAAAATTGTTGTTTGAATTTAGTAGGAGTAATTATGAGAACAAGACTATTCGAAAAAATGCAATTTAACTACAAAATTTTGAAAATACTTTCTAGATTATTCTTTTGCTATGAATTTCTACATTAATTATTGAGCTTTAATTACAAACTTTTTTTCCAAAAATTAGATTAACTAACTCATTGAATCTTTTGCCATAAGCCAAAGAATTGTACAACATTTTGCACTAACATCAGCATTCTGTTCATGTTTAGTCATTATGTGAACTAAATGTGAAGCTATTCGTGCATTATTTAAAAGTTTTGAATCTAAATTTTTTTATTAATAAAATATATATAGAATTAGTTTTTTTTATAAATATAAAATTTACTTTGTGTTGCAAGAACTATAAGAATATCAGCTATGTTTTTAATTACATCTTTATTATTTTCATATAACTATATCATTAGAAAAGAAAAAACATAAATATATAAATAAATTAAAATAAATAAAACATACAGATATCATTTTTCTAATAAATGTTACAGTTTGTGATGTAATTATTATATCATTATGAATTATTTTAGCTAAAAGTTCAAATGTATTTTGAACTATAATTATATTTGATAAAAAATATTCGACAATAGGTATTATATCTTTTTGAAAACACATTGCCAATGATGTTAAATCAATCTATTAAGAAGATATGTTTGTTTGGTTTTTTTTCTTTAGTTTTTCTTTTAATTTATAAATAGAAATCAAGAAATTTACTGATTTTGATTGATTACATAATTGAATTGCATATTCAATACGACTTTCAGCATTACGATGTTGTTTTATATAATTAAGATAGTATTCGAATTTTTCATTATTTACTAAATCTATGCAATAATTTATTTAAGAAACAAAATAAAATAGATATTTGAAGAAAATACGATTAAATACCATTACGAGTACGTTGTTTATCATTTTGAGATGGATATTTCATTTGACTTGAATCAATATTATGCATATTTTCAATTATATATTAATCATGTAGAAAATCTCTATATGAGAAAAATAAATTATAGATTATCGGTGATTTGTTCACACAGTGATAAAGTCTAGATTAAAAATCTACAGATGGATATTCATTTTTTATGATGAGATTTCTATTAGAGTTTCTATCTATTTCGACAGATAGTAATTATTAGAGTAAATCTCACGTTGAGATTTGCAAGATAAGATTTTTTCTGTATCCTGATTGAGAAAATTTTTCTAATTCTTATCCTATTCTACATATTTCTAGTCTCAGATGCCAACCACAATTTGCTGGAAGTTCGAACCAGTGATGATTAACGTCTATTATTATCTATTTAATATTTTTCTAGAAATAAATGAAATTTCAAAAATTAGATCGTTTTAATCATAGGCCAACAATTTTACTACAAATTTGATCAACAACGATTGTCCAGACTACATATGTGCAGAATTAAGTTTTTTTATCCATCGGCCTGGGTAATTTTACTGCTTCGAGTTCTGGTCTAGAGAATTTATTCGTATTGCATCGAAAATAATTCTTCAATATTTTTTATTTTGTTAAGTCGACGACTGGCACTTTTTTCGATCATCGTTCTTGAATTATATTGTGATTTAAATGATTTATAAGGTAATTTGCCTCAAAACCATGGAATATTTTACTATAAACTTCAATTCCGATCTCGGTCAATTTTTTTATCTCATAACTTCGGTTCTTCTCTCAGCAACTTCTCTTTCCTATGATCTCACACATCTCTAATCCCGACTCATATAACTTTCTGCTAATACTACTTGTAAAAGATAGATTCAACTACAATCAATAATATGTATTTATTTGAATGATTTCAACTTACTCTTCTTTGAGACGTTCTTCAGGATTCAGAACTACCATTTGACCAATCAATGCTGGTATTGTTTCATGTACCTAATTATAAAAAGAAAAACAACTGTTTCCTATAAATCCTTCTATTAACTCACATTTTGTAAATTTTCAAGAGTTTCAGACAATGTACTAGCATCATGTCGAGCACAAATACGTAATTGTAATGTTTCTTCATCCTATTTAAATAAACCGTAACGAAATAAATATATTCTAAATGATTTTTTTACCGTTAATGTATCACAGGTAATCATATCCAAAAGTACACAACCCAATGAATATATATCCGATTGTTTTGTATATTGTCCTGATTCCAATATTTCTGGTGCTGTATACGAAAGTGCACCTAGAAAAAATTCAATGAATCAAATATATTTTAAATTCATATAATGAAAATGAATAAAAAAATAAATAAATATTAACAGCAAAAATTTTTCATAAAGTGTATATGCATTATTTTCTTTCACTCTTACTATGGCATTTAATACAACTAGATTCATCAATTGATAAACCTAGACCTCTCATGATAGAAAAACAAAGAAAAAATATCTTTTGATAAAAATGAATACATACGACGAGGTAATCGTGTTCGCATACGAAGATCATAAGCAACTGATGATGGAATCATATCACCAATAATTAATGAACAATTTTCTTCATTATTTTCACCACGTAAATAAATACAATCTGGTTTTAAATTTCTATATTTAAAATTGAAAGAAAAATAATAATTATATAAAAGTGAACAGAAAAAGAAAAGAAAAAAAAAAACTTTTATTTTTTAATTTACCGATGAATAATATTTTGATTCCATAAAAACATTAATCCATCTAAAATTTGTGCAAACCACATATCAACTAACTAACCAAAGAAATGAAAATTTTTTAATTAATTTATTTTCATAGATTTACTTGATTATTAAGTGGACTTTTTTTATTTCGTAATTTTTGTAAATATATATCAAGATTTCCCATTGGAAAATATTCGGATACAAGATTAATAAATGTTGCACTAATCTAAAGAAAAATTTTGAAATTATTTATTCAGAAAAAAAAAAAATTCTTCATACTTTATGTTCAACTGATGTAAATATATCAAAATATAATGCGACATTCTCGCATGATAATTTCATTAAAGGAAGATACTAATTCAGAATAAAAAATAAAATGAAAAATAAAATAAATTTATTTAAGATTTCTACTTCTTGATACGCTACAACAGTTGTTGCCATATCCATCAATTCCATCTAAATTTTGAAGTAATAAATTGAATAAATTTTATAACAAAAAAAAAAACTAACTTTTGATAATAAATAAGTTTTATTTGAATCCTTTTGTCGAACAACAATGCGTTCGGCAAGTGTATCTAAGCCAAGACTTTTATCGATCTTAAAGAATCAAATTTAGATAATAATTATACAAATTAAAATGTTATACTTACAATATATTTATCCATTTTTAAAAAGATTTTTCTCTATGAAA